TATACGATCGGTCTCGCGTAGTTGAACGCGTCAAAGTCCCCGATAACGGCGGAATCTAGGGAAACGTTTATAATTAGTCACGCGAGAGTATACAAGAGAGAGAAAGCTGCAGAGAGAGATTACAGCTGTGGCGACGAGCAACGAGATCACGTGGATTTTTCATCGCGACGCACGCCTCTGTGATTCACTGTCGTAACAATGGCACGCGTTATATTTTCGTTCGAGGGAACAAAAAAAGAAAAGAAAAGAAAAGAATAGAATAGAAAAGAAAAGAAAAGGAAACTCGGTCCGAAAAGCGGACAAAGAAATACCGGGCCGGGCGAAGTACGTAAGCGGAATTCTCGATTACGGTGGATGCAGCACGATGAACGATGATAACGATCTCGCGGGCTCGAGTGGCTCGATTTATCAAATCGGTCCACGTCGACGAAAAGAAAGAGGAAAAGATAAAGTCGAGAGAAAGATGCGCAGAATGTTCTCGAGAGGACCAGAGGAAAAGGAAACGTTTGACAGGGAAGTGTCTCCAAGAATTTCACAATTTTTCTATCGTTGCAGCTGGAATTTCGGGCGCAAGGTCGAATGGAACGTACAGAGACCCGTGGAGGCTGGCCGTGATGCTGGACGATGTTGCACGGTATCACGGGTGTAATTGGATGTTTCCGGTCGAGCGAAGGAAAATAACGACGGGGATGACGTCGTAGTGGAACTGGAACCGTCTCGCGACAGCTCGAATGACGACCGACCGAGGCGGAAGCATCGTGGAAAGTCGCCGCGCGTGAGAGGTCATGGGGATCTTGACTGCAACATGACCGACAGAATTACGTAGTGGCGCGTGGCGTGTCAGATCCCGCCGGTACGGGACTAAGTGTGTTTTTCGCGCCCTTCTTCGCGTCGGGTGGTATTTTTCGTGTGATTTGTGTTGTCCAACGTCGAGAATATATATCGTTCAACAGGAGGAAGTAGGGGCGCGGTGATGTGTGATTGGATTCCAAGCGGTAAATCCAAGACGCAGACATGTCGAGGCGGCATCCAGATCGGCTCAACGTAGAATCAGCTGGTATCAACTGGCGAGCGTAAACGCGGCGAGGAAGAGGGCAGCGAAGAGAAGAGCGTAAGAACAAGAGGAGGAAGAAGAGGGTGAGCCGAGGCGCAAAATGGGAGCAACGAGATTGCTGTTGGGAAGCGCTATCCTCGGACTCTTTTCGAGTGGATTGTTGTTCAAGGGTGCCCTGACCAATTCGATGAACAGGTGCGACTACCCTCCGTGCTTCTGCGATCCTCACGGCAGGCTGACCTGCGACTGTAAAGAGGAAGGAGAGGTATGTTGCTCCCCCCGTAGACACCTAGCTAAGAAAACTCTGCCTTTATCTTTTCCAGCGTTACAACGCGCGGCTCGATCTCTATCGTAAGATAGAGAAACACAAACACACAAACACACATATGCACGCACGCACGCACACACGACACAGCGAGGAGATATCGTGAAAGGAAATAAAACCGAAAGGAACGTCCTGAGCGAGGGGAATTCGCTGGAACGAGCGAGCGAGGTTTACGCAGGCCGTTCTAAATCTCGGCGAGCAATGTGTTCGCAACCCTCCGAGAGAAGAAAGAAACTTCTATATCTCCCTTCCCCCCTCTCTGTCGCACGTTCAGTCTGTCGCGTTTAACCTGCCTCCTTTCGTTTCGTCCATTTCATCCCGTATCCCCTGGTCCTCTCTCCGGGCCAATCGTCGTCTCGAATCTTTCTTACCGCATCCCTCTCCGTCACCACCTTCGAATCCCTTTTCCACGAATTCATCGAGAGGATCTCGAGAATCGCGGTCCTCTCTCCCTTTCTATCTCGCGACAAATCGCAGACAATGCGACGGTCAGCGTCCGGCAGGAGACGATCTTTTGTTCGCGGTGGTGCGGTGGCATTATT